AAAAAATCCCAGAACTTTTTACGGAATCAAACATGACCAGGTATTGCACTCGTATAAAAAGATTTAAATAGGAAATCACTTTTATTGTATCTGGGGTCAAAGATTTCCCAAAAAATGCTAGATACAAGTACTATTGATGCTATATTGTCGTCATAAATTTGTTTTTTTGCCCTGAAGTCAACGAGAATTATTCCTTGGCCAAACATTTTATATGAGTACAATACCTGGTCATATTTGGTTCAAAAATATATCCAAGATTTTTTTGGCTTTTTTTGAATTATTAAATTATTTTTGAATATAGGGGGATGGAGCACCCGAGTGCTTCTAACCCGCTTCCATGATACTCTCCATTACAACCAGAAGTGGTAATATAGTCTAAGAATATGTGTAAGTTGCTCTTCACTGTGACTAGGGAGGGAGTATTCTTTACGCTAGTTGTAATGGGAGTATCATAGATAGTATCATGCATGCCAACTAGCCAAATTTGATGAGATGGCATAGAATTAAATGAAGAAAGAGAGGGTTGAGTATCATATCATGATACTATATCATATTAAATATTGTGCTACTATGTGTCATGCATGCTCATAAATGAAGTCATCTATAATACTTTCCATTACGAGGCATATAATATTTTGTGGGAAGCAGCATTAGGTGACATTAATGACACACAGATTCCTGAGAGAAGAGTTGTCTGCTCCGGCCATGTGTGTGGAGGGGTCTGCGTTGTGCAAGGTAACGCGTCGCCGCGGGCAACCGGCGGAGCGGGCAAGTCAACAGAGGCCCCTTGGCTACCCTGATCAGTCGCTGCACCCCGAAATGCTCTCGAAGGTTTCAGCAGCGGCTAGCGGTCATTCCGTCGCTAAAGAAAGGAAGTCGCATCTAGGCCAAGTTGCAGGATTGCAACGCAGAAAAGGGATGGATGGACCATTTCACTTGGTGCAAACACAGACAGGCAGACAGGCAGAGAAAGAGCCGTCGTCGTCGCCGGCTACGAACGAGCCCACTTTGAGTAACGATTCTTCTCGTCGTGAAACATTGCAATCGGCTAGCTGCCAGGCTACTCCTCTTAGCAAGCGAGTTCCAGTGCGCGCATAAAGGGGATGGAGGAAGAAACATCCTTGTGCTAATCCTGTCGTACTTACTACCAAGTTTTCATACGGCTTGATATCTAGACGTACCATGCAGGCAGCCTAGCTGGCGATCAGAGAAGCTTCACGGGTGGTGGTAGTAATAATTAAGAGGACAGCGGGCAGAAGTTTTTGTATGCATGGGCATGCGCATGCTTTATGTTGCTTCCAGCTTACCGGGAGGGATCGGGATGAGCAGACGGGTGATTGCAACCGGCAACCGGACGACCGAGATCACGAGCCACTCGGCCCTCAACGGGAAGCACGCAGGACGAGGGGATGACTGACTGCACAACCAAACCAAACCAAACCTAACAGGCGCAGTAGTGGCGATCGGCCAGCCATCGATAACGTGGACGGACCGAAGCGTACCTGTCATTCAACGCAAGGCAGGCAGGCAGGCAGGCACACTTAGTTATCCATATCTTCCAATTGTTCGTCGCTCTCGTGATGCAAAATTTGCGCGTGGGCGTCCGCCCCAAAAACTAATGGGGCCGAGCGGAGCGCGGCGCGTGCAGCCCGGGCCCCCGCGTGCGCGCACTAGGCTAGACCAGTAGTAGGCAACTACACTAGAGAGAGAGAGCAGCGCGCGGCAGCAACAGCGGTGGAGCGCGGCGAGCACGACCACCGGCTTCCCGAGGGCCGGGCCGATCCCTCTCGCGTCCTTGTCGTGGCCAAAAGACCCTCCTCCACTCCACCGTCGCTTTGCCACTTATCCCCGCGCCGATTGGAGCCCCACGCGATACCCCCGGACGGGTTCAGAGATCTGACGCATATGGCCGAGATTTTGTGCCACGCCTCTCCCTCTCTCTGCCCTTTGACATTTACACAAGGTCAGATCCAGAATAACCGACGCCTGACGCGCCCAAGTGGCTGGTCAAGCGCAGCCAATAATATAGGATGGGCATAAAGAGTCAAGCAAGCTTTAAAGTTAATTCGCGGCTTCCATATTCCCCTCCCCTGCGGCCCCTTTAATGACGCCACAGAGTTCCATCCAAAGATTCCACCCTTTTTCTTCTAGCTTGCCCTCTCTCCCTTTTGACATTTGGAGCAAAGTCAAAGAAAACAATAGGGAGGAGAAGCCAAGGCCCTATTGACAAGTGCATAGCATAGAGCCCCGCCCCAGTATACAATACAATGCCGAGTGGCTGATCATTTCAAATCCGGACGCGATCTTCTCCCTTATCCCCTGCTGCGAAGCGCGCGCCGTGCCCACCACTTGCCTTTGACTTTACAGGGATCGAGTCATCCCCCTCGTGCCACTCCAGAGTACGCGTCTGGAGTATGTACAGGCGTACGCGTATATATTTGCGCTTCCCCGGACCGGCCTGCCAGTGCCAAAAGTCAACCCCATCCCGCCCCGGCCACCACCACGCGTCCGTCCTACCTAGCTAGCTCACTTCGTCAAACCTCTCCAAGCTCAAATCCCCGGTCGCCGTTCATGTGCGGCCTGCTTCTGCGCATGGAGCACCTCAACGACTGGGACCTGCAGGCCGTAGTCAGGAGCTGCGCCACCTTCTCCTCCTCCCGCCACCCCCAGGACCGCGCCGGTCCTCCTCCGGGCACCGCCGCGGCGCCGGTGCCGGAGACGCCGGTCAAGCGGGAGCCGCGCGACGTGGTCCGGCCCGCGTCGTCGCCGTACGGCCTCGAGTACCTGGACCTGGATCACAAGCCCTTCCTGCTGTCGGCGCCGTCGTCGCAGTCGTGGGCGGCGGTGGACGACCGCCACGAGATGATGATCTCTTTCCCCGCGGCGGCGTCCACGTCCGGCGTGCGCCCGCGGGTGCCGCCTGGCCGGAAGCCCGGCATGCGAAGCAGCACCCCACGCCCGAAAAGAAGGTACGTACTACTATATACCTATAGTTGATTTGTGCACCCGGCCCGATCGCTTATGCAGCGCGATTTGGATCGGAGAAGCTTGCAGCCTGCTGATTGTGATTTTGTTTGGTGGTGGTGATGGTGGCGGCGAGCAGCAAGAAGAGCCAGCTGAAGAAGGTGGTGTGCGAGGTGCCGGTGGCCGACGGCGGCGTCTCCTCCGACCTTTGGGCATGGCGAAAGTACGGTCAAAAGCCCATCAAGGGCTCGCCTTATCCCCGGTAATTAACTACTACAACCACTTCCACCGGCCCGTTTCCATGCGTTACTGTCGTCTCGTCGATGCACTAGCTCCCCCCCGTGCACAGCCTTGAGACCAGTCACTACCGCTAGTACCTTCTGTTAATAGATTCGCAATAACTGATTTCTCACACGATGAACATTTACACGGATTTCATCAAACCTTTGGTCATTTGGATATATATACTCCTAATTACAAACAGTATAGTACTGGTAGTACATATGACCTGGTGCTTAGAACTTGCTAGGAGTAGATTTTAGCCGCGCATCTTGCAATTTGGCATAAGTTTTGGCCACTACACGTCACATGTACTTTTGCAGTACAAACACGCATGCTCCGGAAGGTACTCAAGTACTCCTCCGTACCAGTACCTATCTTAATTACTACTCCTAACCTTTGTTAGCTTTGTGGTCACAGGGGATACTACAAGTGTAGCAGCATGAAGGGGTGCATGGCCCGGAAACTGGTGGAGCGCAGCCCGGCCAAGCCCGGTGTGCTCGTCATCACCTACATGGCCGACCACTGCCACCCGGTGCCGACGCAGATCAACGCGCTCGCCGGCACCACCCGCCACAAGACCACCCCTGCCGACGGCCACGCAGGGACGACGACCACGACGTCGCCCAAGAGCCACGGCGATGCCCACGAGGCGGTGAGGTGCGACGACGAAAGCAACGAGACGTCGTCCATGGCGGTGGACGGTGCCACTGAGGACGCGGCGGGGGATGACGGCGGCGAGTTCTGGCCGACGGAGCTGGACCTGGACGAGTTGTTGGCGCCCGTGGATGGCGATCTGGATCATGTCTTCGACGAGGACGACGCCCTGGGACGACGGCTCTCGCTATAGCTGGAGAGGAAATTTGTAGCTATAACCTATAGGCACCACCGATTGACAACTTTTTTGCCCCTGTGTTCACATATTTGCGAAGGAGGGGTCACGCAGCAGGCAAGAAGCCATGTATATGCGTTTGATGTGTGTTTTGTGCTTGATCCCTCTCAACAAAATTGATGGAAGATTTCTGATGTAGCTCCAGTCTTGTATATACATATAATCGCCGAGCCAACAGCGGCTCAGCGGTTTGCCTGGTAGATCATAAGGTCTCGGTAAATCGTTTTGATGTGCGTTTCGCGCATGATCCCTCTCAGCGGTTTGCCTACTAACGAGTATTGAGTTTATACACGTAACTCAAGGGCATCAAAGCATTTGACCACGCCAAACCAGTAAGAACTCCACCTTCCATGCATCCAACGAAAGGTACCGCGGCTCACGATGGTATAAACACATATCATAAGGTCTCAGTAAATCGTGCTCCACTACCACGAAAGTGATTCCGCTCTTTTCGCCCATAAGGAAATTCTGTGACTAAGTAACTGCTAACTTTCTGAGACAAACACATCATCATTAAATTTCACGATCTATGTGATCGATCTGATCAAACAAAAATTAAGTGTGATGCACAGATTTCAGACAAAAAATAGCACCGTTTCACAGATGATAGTTTTGGCACCAGTTACAACGGACGTTTTGCACTTCCATACCACAGATGCACAGGTATGGCTTACTCTATTACCAACTGTAGCTCGCAAAACTAGGATAAGTACTTAAAAGCTAACCTGCCACGCAAACAGCTTACAAATAGGAAACAGAATCAAGAGCAACACACAATAATCCGACCGACAATGATTTGCAAGTCTGCAGCCAAGTTAACACTCACGACCCGACCAGGATTTACAACATGGATGATCTGGATTCATTAATACTCCCACTTCTTGAGCTCCATTCCATCAGGAGGGCTTCCTTCAACCGTCTTTTTCCCGACATCCTTCCAGTTGGTTGAGAGAACGGTTCCATTAGACTCCACCTGCAACACCAGATATGTTCAGACAGCAAGTAGTAGTATATGATCTCAGTTGTGACCTTTGTCAGCTATGCCAACACAGGTCAATTGACAAAAGGGGAGCCACGAGGATGGAGAGCACATACAAAAGACTTCATCATTGCTCTACGCATATCTTCATCAGCATCACTGTAAATTTCACGGAAAAATTTGTTCAATGCAGCATCACCATCAAGTTTTTCATCCTTCTCCTGAAACAAGCTCAAAATCATGAGAAACTTCAATGGTAGTAGGGCAGTAGTGAAATGAAAGGCTCAAAGATGATACAAGCTGCACACACACACACACAAACCTGTTTTTTCACTTCAGCTTCAAGCTTATCCCAGTCCTTTTTGGATTTTGATGACGGATAAGATGGCCTCTGGGCTGATTCAGCTGCAAAACAAGGAATACATGCAATGTTTCAGTGACAAATGGAAGACAATGCAATATAACACTAACCCAGAACTCAGATTTTGTATAGAACTGGTATGCTGTTCATCTAAAACCCAGCATCACATACACGGTTCAGGCTTAAAACTACCTTAGTAGCCATTCTGCCAGCTTGAAAGCTACATAAACAGCCTGGGACTGAAATAGTAGCCATTCTGCAAGCTTAGGAGTCAGCACCAACCAGCATTTTAGTTAACTTTCTTATAGATCTGTTACCCTCAGTGTGCATGGAAGTATCTTTCTCACTAAGTACAGAAATCACCATATTCTTGTTGACTATCATGTCAGGAACATGCCATAAATTTGCGCTGGTTTAAAATATTTTCAGTGATCATCTTTCATAAGAAAAAATTGTAGAACACAATTTACAGAGGGAGTAGTAATCCATACAAAAGCTCAATCACAGCAAGGTTATCACTAGACAAGTCAACAATTTTGCTCGCATTCAGCCCTCAAGGAATTACCTGGTACATTTATCTTCTGAGGAGCCTTTGGTTTACCAGTATAATCCAATGATGTCCAAGTTACTGGCTCAGCTTTTGCAAGGCGCATTTCAACCTTTGTAGACAACACAGTATACTTGCACTTATCTGGGACGATCTGATTGTCAAAAAACAACAAAATTACTGATGAATGTGCAATAGCTCAACCCAGTCTGGTATACACCACCACAAGTAAAAACAGTTACATAGAGAGAGCGTAATTGATTCTCAACAACTTCCATGCATTTAGGGAACAATCCAAATACAGGAGTTCTCAGTCATCACTGTAAGTTGCCAGATGGAGGGAGAAACAAACTATATCCAATCAACTGACAAGTTTGTCAAAGGTGCTACTCGGCAATGAACTATTGACCATGTGTATTTCCACACCACATGAAAACTTGGGCCCTTAGCAATCAATTTACTTTGTCAGTTACAATATCCTACTTTATCAGCAGATCAATTGCTGTTCCTAGAACATAAATTTGAGGATTAACATAATAAATTAGTTGTTTTAGAAACAAAATTAGTATATTATATCATATAAAGAAGACCTCATTCCATCTCCGTGTGTAACTGACTAACAAGAGAGTACTCCCTCCGTAAAGAAATATAAGAGCGTTTAGATCACTACTTTAGTGATCTAAACACTCTTATAGTTCTTTGCAGAGGGTGTACTGTTTAGCCTGGCTTCGTCGTTATATCCATAATCATGTATTTCCAAAGTTGTTCATAAACATATATGTGGGAACCTGTATGTGCCACTCATGTTCTAGATAAGGGTGGAAAACTTGTTTGAGAGGGAAAATAAATAAATTATTGATTTTCTGTACTGAAAGTTGTATTTACAATATATATCTCCTATAAATTCGTATTTACAGATTAGTTACTAACAAAAACATGAAAACTATGCTTTTGAGTCACCCTGCCTTGCGTGTATGTTCTGAATATTTAGTACCTTCTCTTACCAAACAATGCATCATACAAGTGACATAACAGATACAGCATGTACTGTTTGCATTGTGTTCATAAGTAGCCACATACAGGTTAAAAAGATGAGGAGGTACCTTTGAAAACAGACGAGGCTGAAAATGGTATGGTTCCTCACCGGGAAGTTCAATTGAGACACTCAGCTAGAAAGTGAAGCTAGATTAGTCAACACAGTGAAATGACAATTGATTTGCAAGAATAAGGCAAGGAAAACACACCATCTGTTCACCAAAGTCAACAACCACGCTGTCAGCTGGAACACCCTTAGCAAATATAGTCAGTACCACTTCTGTAGGAGTATTGTAGTAGTCATGCCTACAACATCAAATGCATTGCCAGAAAATGTTAGCATCCATCCACTGTTTACAGCATAAACATTTAATCATTCCTTAGATACACTAGTATTACGCACACCTCTGACGATGTGAATGAGGTGGAAATCAAACATAAATTTTAGTGCATGTAGTAGATGTCCCCCCAAATTTAAATGGGCTCATACATAGAAAATAAATTTTTTTATCATGGGAGAAAGAACACTACTGAAAGAATTCTGCACCAATTACCTGTATTTGGGCTTGCTTGGCACTTCCATCGTTGGCTGTGCATTCTCCATATTTGCACCATCCTGGTCCTCAGCTTCAGTAGCCACAGTTGTAGCCCCGGAAGATGCCCCCGAAGATGTAGCTGAAGCAACAGCCGCAGCGGCATTCTTTACTGGCACCTGGCTAGCCTCCTCTGAACACATAACAAGTTAATGACACCCCAGCAGTACAAGTGTGGGTAAGAAAGAGCAAATGAAAAGATCATATGCAGCTTCAAAAGTGTTAGCACATCCCGAAAACTGGATGATGATGCAAGGCTGCTATGGGAGATTTTAACAGATCACAATAACTCAAAAATTGGGAAAACACAGAGGACATACATTCCTATTATGGCATGCCCAATAAAGAATCACTATATCCATTAGGCAATTGCTGAGCTAAATATGTTTGACTCACCAGCAATACGATCATCACACTCCTTCATCAGACGAGTAAACCTCGAGTCACCAGATGCATAAGAAGAACCCACTTCAAGAGCAGCCTTTGCAGTTTGGTATTCCTCCAGCTTGATGCAAGCAGAGCTGCATAGAATTATTCTTGTCATGTAAAAATAAAAAGGCAATAGATGGCAGTTTGTTCTAAAATTTATGTTCAACTGATGAAGCGAATAAATGCATGACTGACCCCTTCCGAAGGTATGCTTTATGCATCGAAGGATCAAGTTCAATTGCTTTGTTGGCATCAGCTACAGCCTCTGCAAGACAAAAATTACCACGCGCTTAGTACACTATATTGTGCAAGTACAAACAGACAATTACTATCAAGTAACAAATAAAAAAGGCATGATCTAACTATTTCAGTATGTCCACAAATGTAGGTCATTGTAGCCATTGGCACAAAAATGAAGGAATTAGCCTCAATGAACATCATGCCATTCTCTTGCTCCTAAATGCCCTGATTATTCTCTTGATTTATGTGTTCTCTACTTAAGAAGAGCAGTTGAGACTAAGAGAGATTTATGTATTCTCTACCCAAGAAGAACACTTGAGACTAAGAGAGACACTCAATCATGAGTTATGATCATACGGAATAATATGAATGTGAGAGGATAATGCTTAAAATAAACAAACTATATTTGTAAATATAGTGAATGGCTAATTGAGCTTACATGATCTTTCATGATGGATAGTTAAATAATATTCGGGGATAAAGTTTACAAAATGAGTTCAACTGGTAATTAAGAACTGAAATGACATTGTACTCATACATGGATGGTGTGGCACTAACATTTTGAACATTCTAGACGTAAAAGGGCAAACAAATAAGCCACATGGCAAGTTTCGAGTTTGACAAAGAGCAGACCAAGGCTTCATTAATATGCAACAACAAGGAAACAACTATAGATCACGGACAAACAGGGATTAGGTGCTAAGAAATTCTGCAAAGTACATAAACATGGTTATGAATCATAAGTATTACTCCATGCACAACAATGTACCTCTTGAATCTGCAGATGTCACTATTATATCTTTTACTTCATATAATCTACAGATTTCACTATTATATCTTTTCCTTCGTAGATAGAGTAGAACAATTGTTTAATGCTATTACTACAATTACTATTGCATTTTTAAAAGCACAAGGCTTCCACCAAGTCAGAAACATAGATATCCAGACCTCACTATGCAGGGAATCAAATTAGCTTTTTGTTCTCAATTTATGAAGCATTCAAACAAATAACCTCATACAGAGGAAAATTTACATACGATTTTACGATAGTTAGTTAATGTGATGCGATTTCTAGCATATCAAGGAGTGGCTTGTAGCTGCCTGAATAATATTTTTACACAGGCAACATAGGGATACTTCGGTTATCACAAAGAAATGTACCATTGGTTACAAATTGTTGCCAAACACAGGGTTTTTTCAAAGGCAGCCGTTGTTCATGGCACTAGGCTGGAGAGGAAGGTCCTCACCTCCTTGGCCATGCTAGGACACCGAATCTAACTTCAGGAGGATAGCATGTATTCCATATCCTCATAAACTGAGCAAATAGGCAAAACAAAAGCACGCACCTTAAGAAAAAATCCATATTATGATACGACAGCTCTACATTTGGATGGCATTTTACTTTACATCATGAGGATCGAAATGGAGTTCTATGCAACAACTCAATGATACATGAACAAGTAATAAAACAAGATGTGCGAACAACCAAATACTTATTCAGAATACTGAACTGCAAGATAACAAAATAACAATACTCCAATGATGATACTACCCAGATTCTTTATGGTGGTTAAGTGCCTCAGAGTTGATATAAATATAACACTTTACATGCCACCACATTAGATCTCGTTCCTTTTCAAGGTTAGGCTAAAGGCTGTGATGTAGGAACAGAAATCAACAACAGGCATCTTAACAACCAGAGATCAAACAACCCACTAATAGAATCTCAATGTTAGCACCCGTTTTGACTAATTTCGCCAACATATATGAGCAAAAAGCAAGCAATAACTGTAGCAACTCAACAAGTGCATATCTTTTTTAGGGCGCAAGTCGTGTAATGACTACAGTAAACACGCTGGAATGCTATTCTACCCCCATTACATTCCCTAGCCTATGCAAACTGGAAGTCAATCCTAACTGTAAATGAGAGGGATTCAACACACTTGTACGTCAACACCTGCACACACAGAAGCTATGTGTGCTGACACTAACGAAACAGACTTATTTCACACAAATCAGAGCAACCCCCAAAGGTGCCATCTTTGACCCACCGACACTTGGCGTACAACACAAGTAACGTAAGGATTCGGAACGAAAACAAACCGAGCTTATTAGGGCCTAACTCGCCGCTTGAACCCCACAACTAACGTAAAACCGCACCGCCGCACCGACAACGCAACAAGCGACGGCGAATCGAACTCATCTGCTCCCAGAACCAGACGCAAACATCTCATAGGGGGGCCTAGCG